GTTTTTATGTGTCTATGATGGACTGGCAACTTGTCATGGTTGTCCCTCGCCTCTCACCCGATGACTGTTGGGCATCAGCTCCTCTTGACCTTACTGATGAAAAAGCTGCTGGGTTTGCCATTTAGAAGTGAGTTTCCATTTTAACCCTAACCTATAAATAATTACCATCTTACTCATTATAAAAAGCTGATTGAAGGTTTCACTGCTTCTGAGCTCTGCCGACACGCCATGCCTCATTTCATCATCCACATGGGAGATGAGTGGCTGGCAGGATACCCCAACATGATCCAGTGGCTCAGACAGGAGGTGCTGATAAGATACATCAAGAACAAACCTGACAAGGGCAGCATCAAGCTGGCTAGGAAAACGTGGTTCATTGTCTGCAGGTGCCAGGATTCCAAATTGTTGGATGCACTGGAGGACAATGACTTAGTCCAGCTTGCAATGGCAGGAGGCACCATGTCTCCTGACTTCCTCCCATGTGAGCCTGGAGTTTCTAACATAACAGCTGCATACACAGAACCTATAATTCATTAGCCATAGAATCAGAATCAGAATGAATTTCTTTGCCAGCGCTCTTTTCAGAGCGTAGGAACTTGACTCCATAGTACAACCTGACCAAGGTTACACACACACACATATAGACAAGACAGATACAGGCAGACCATGGGAGCAGCCATGACGGCGCTCCTTTGTAGATGAGTAAGGGAATACATGAGGGAAGTTCAGGGAGGGAGAAAAAAGGCATTAACAGGGTTACACCAGCAGGGTGTAGCACTCCAATGCAAAAAAAAAAAAAAACACCCGACATGTAAGCAACAAACGTCACAGTTCACAACATGAGACCCGGTAGGTAGGGGGGAGGGGCTGGGATCCTGGTTTCCTCAGCGGGGGCAGCCGGTGTGGCGCTCAACCAGCTGGCTCTGCAGGTGGGAGGGAGGCCATGGGGAAGCACAGAGAGCAGTGAGTCCTTAGCTTGATGACCTCGGTGGAGACCACAATCTGAAGGCGGGGAGGGGGGGTGGATAGAGATTCACAGCATTTGTCTGCATTCCTTCCAGCATGGGGGTTTTGCATGCAACTCCAAGGCTGCTTTTGGCGTCAGATTCGATAACAGAACTTTGTTTGGGTCAGACAGAGATAATTTTTCCTCTCTGCCTTAAGTCTGTATTGGTCATTCCAGTCCTCCAGTGAAGCCAATTCAGTGATTAAACATCTCCACACCGTCCGGTGACCCTTTCCGAGATGTTATCAATCCTGCGCGCTAACACGGGTAACGCAGCTAAGACATTGTCCAGCTTGCGATTCACCTCGAGCAACATCTATAGACTTCAACAGTCTATCCTCAGATCGGGTTCCGTTAGGAAGACAACTCTGCAAGATAAATTGGATCTTAGAGGCAAAGAGAAAAGTTGAACTTTTGTGCAGGAAAGAATCATCACAGGTTTTGGAAAATCTGCCCAAATTGTCACTCCTGACAGCAACCTCAAGAAGGAACAGGAAAATGTTATGTATTTGCTCTCAGCAGGTTTGGGAAACCAACTGAGCCCTGAGAGGACACGCATGTTGCTTGCTTTAAAAGGATCGATGTTTTAGCCGAAGGGCACGGTGGGATTTCTTTTTAAAGGTGTCTTGCTATGATCCTGGCCTTCAACTCTTCCTGCCTTTCCTTTGTTCCACAGAAGGGAACACACCTGACCCTGGGGCTAAGGGGAGAGGGTAAAATGTGGTCTCCAAAATGCAGATTGGCAAATGTTAAATAAGTCCTGGAGGCTCCTGAACTAAAGCCAGTGTCAATGGTTAACGGGACCCAGACAATCATCTCTTTGGGAGTGGATGCAGAGCAGAGAAGCTCAGGGTATCACTCGCCAGAAAGACATTATTGCAACTCTTACCCAGGAGGTCTTTGAAGGGAACCACTAAGGTTTTTGACTGTGATAGCCATGCTTTCCTCCTGGACAAATAGAGGTTACTCAACACTTCTGGACTCGGATCACCATCCATCTCAGATTGGAGAGAGACATAGGTTCTGTGACAGAGTCCTAACCCTACACTCTGCTGCGCTGTTCTTGAGTTCATTTCAAATGAAATTTCACCATAACATTTTGCCAAGGACATCATCAGAGTAGAAATCAACACCGCTACTGACAATAGGTAGAATGAAGAGAGACCCGTTCAAGGGGGAATTTCCACGGTGAACCTCCAGCAAAGGCTCCACGAGTTGGTTTCCATCGTTGACGGGTTGTGTAAACCTTCCTCGAGCACGCTGCTTGTCTTCCTCCTCAGCCTCAACTCAGGCTTCGTAATCGCTCACTGCACTGCTGCTGCTTTAGTTTCAGAAAATGAAGTTTTGTTCCACCTTCCGTATTTTCACGACCATGAGGCGCACCTAAATGTCTTAAATTTTCTCCAAAATGTACGCCGCGCCCTATGGTGCGGTGCGCCTATTGTGTTGTTGTGAGACGCGAACATAGTAGAAGACAAGGGGCGTGGCGGGAACGTGCGGACGTGAGAGAAGACAGGCCTGTGGATCTGCCACATCGTCATCAACGTCCTCGCTGTTTGCCTCAGACTCCGACTGTGGGTCTCCGCCCACTTCCTCTGTTTCCAGTTCAAAAAACAGCCGTACTATCTGAACTGCCTGGTGGACATTTATCCTTCTCATCATCCTTTATATAAGCCTGATAAAAGCCTACTAAACTGCAGAGACAATATATCTGTCCGGATCGCTCACAAATATGAAGTTTACCGTCAATATCTGTCTAATTGTTTGTTGTTACTCCGTTCGCGCCACTCCTTTCCCCGCCAAGCAGCTCCTTCTTGCGCACATCTCGTTACTCGTGCGGCCTTCCTCTCTCTCTCAGCTACATAATGATAGTTTTTATCAGCTGAATATGTGAGACTTCCACCAACAGCAACAGGATCTCATGTTTTTGTGGGTCTTTATGTTCACAAGCACGTTCCCTCTCACGGATTACTAAACTGCTGTTTTGACAAGTAATAAGATTGTCTAAAAATAGGTTGTTTTTTAGTTTAGTAAACTGGGGTGTAGTTTATAATCTCCTTTTTAAAGATGAATTGAAACCGAAACTCAGGGAGGTGGAGTCTTGCTGCTGCAGCGTCCCAAATCAGACCTGATCTAAAGACGCGGATACGCGTCCACGGACCCCAGAGGTTTAATTCAAATCACACTATTTTCTTAGGCCTATTAATAACACACATATGATTTTGTTCATGTGGAAAGTTTATGGTTAAATCCACCAACTACCGGTAAACACATTCTGAACTTCAACACAGCGCATCAGCGCTTGAAGCGGCGCTGTGACCCAAAAGTACCAGAACCGCTCTTGGCGCATGCGCAATCATGCATCAACACCGCTCTCCCGCTATTTCCCTAATAGCACACGCTGTTCGCTTTTATTTCTTCACGTTATTTTACTCACAAAGATTGTCAAGAAAGCGTGTTTGTCGTGTTCATGTCAAATTAAACTGATCACAAAACACAGATTTACTTTCTTTATTTGGTTTTTCTCATCCAACCCCATAAATCCCCGTGTGTCCTCCTGCAGCACTCCCGGTGTGCGCCCGGCTTTAGTAGGAGGGAGACCCGCGATTATCGCTTTGTCGCGCATGTCTCATTGAAAATGAATGGAGGAGAGGCGAAGTTGCCTCCCGTGTGTCGAGCCCATTAAAGGAGCACGAGCCGTCAGCGCACGCAATGAGGAAGTGCACGTGTGCTCTAAACCAGGTCTGAACCAGGACTAGACCAGTAAAGTGAAGCATGCTTTTGGCTGTTTATAATTTTCACAATGTCTGATTTGCACTGATGTGTTCCGAGTCCCGAGCCCGCACAGATGTTTTACCGGTACGTTTTACCGTGCCGCGCCCGATAACCCGGTGCGCCCTATGGTCGTGAGAATACGGTATTCTCTTTGTCCACCAGTTCTGCCAAGGAGGAGAATAAGTCTGTGGGAGGTTGAGCCACTGAGCCTGAGGGTTATAGAGCACATGGAGCAAGTTGTTTCGATAGAGCTGCTAGTGGATCTCCGAGATATTTAGGGTTAGTGTTAGCACATATGCTCACTTCAGAACACCACCCCTATAGAGAAGGCCCATGAAACCTTACATAGATCCATAAGTATCAGACAGAGAAGATCCCAGAGTCCTGTCCCAGTTCTCCCACCGCCTTCTTTCTGGATCTTCCAGCTTCAACAAGGAAACGAGTTAGTCATGAGTGAAATGTTTCTTTACTGCAATAATTTTTTATGGACTAAAAATCAGCAAATCTTTGGAAAAGGTTTGTTGTAGATGTATTCTGTTGTTTCCTTGTTGATTCATGACGGTGCTTTATTTTTTACATTTAATTTCTTTATGGCTTTTGGGAAATCGTTTACATCCTGAAGGACTGATGAGCTAACATAGCAGCAGGTCAGATCATCTTTGGTTCAGATAATAGCCCGAAACATACCTGACATCTTTTTGAGATCAGGTTAGTGATCAGGGTAAGCTGTGAACGTTCTTTCTCACCTGTTTGCAGAGTCCTCCCTGACAGGTGGGATTATAACAGGATTGTGTGTGATTTGGGATTAGCAGTTTACGTGTTTATGCTTACTGGGTACAGTAATACATATGACTTTGGTCATGCTTATGTTTATTCATTTAGCAGGCACTTTTATCACAGGCAGCTGACACGTTATCTAACATGAGTGAGTTAGTCGTTCAGGTGACTGATTAACACATATGATCTAATGGCTAGTGTAAGTGCAACCAAGATGTGCACTTTGATCTTAGCTGCACTTATAGCTTATCAAGTCTAAAGTATGCTTACTATTTCTCCAAACAGATGCTATTCAGAGAGCTTTCTCTAATGATAAAGAAAGTGTTTGGTCATTTTTACACATAGAAGTACATTTAAATAGACAAAAACATGAAATCTAGAAATAACTCAGTAGAGTCTATGATGTGTGTTACAATGTGACTGGTTTTTTATTTGTTTTCAGAGCTACCCCGTCCTGGACGTGAGACCTCCTCCTCATACCGTCGTTGCTTTAAACAACTCGATGTACTGGCAGGATTTTGAAGATGCTTGTTTCTATGAGTGTCTGGAGGGAAAAGACTGCCAGAGCTTCTTCTGCTGCTTTGAGGAGTGTAAAGAAGGCAAATGGAGAAAAGGACGCGTCCACATAGATCTTCTCGAACTGGATGCATACTCACGTGTCTTTTTTCCCACCTCTTTCCTTCTGTTTAACATTGTCTACTGGGTAGGCTACCTCTACCTTTAGAGCACTATATGCAGTTTTCTTTTGTTTAAACCTAGAGGAAACAGTTAAAATGGATGGCAGTATTTCTTTAAGGTACTACAACACCAAATAAAAGCTTCTGTTGCAGTTATAGCAGTTACAATGGAACAACACCCAGAAGATGGTTGTCTACGGAGATTTCTGCCTCAGTGACTTCAGGTGTGAGAATGCACTCCTTCACTGGCTGTGTGGGGCTGTATGAAGTCAGAATGAACTCTGTTGATGATCTGGAGAAACAAAAACTGTCTCTTCAGACTTCTCAGACAGGACGAGGACTTGTTGTTATCCAGCCAGCAATCAAGCCCGACTGATGAGAATCCAAGGACATCTAAACCATTTTGAGTGCCTTCCTGTGGAGGGGTAGGTTCTATCTGCAACAATAATCAGGGAAATGATTTATATAGAGAAAAAAAAAGAACCTGGCTTTTATGGCTGTTCTCATTAAGTATTTTAAATGACATTTATAAAACAATCATTTGTTGAAACAAACACAAAAAGACTCATGGTTCTGTGGAGAGGATAGTGAAAATACATTTTAAGGGATGGTTCTGACTGTGAAGTGGATTTCATGGGCAAGGTTATGAACAAATAGTATATTAACTGAAGATAGTCCCATTAACATCCTCAGTTTGGCGAAACAGAGATGGTGTCTGACTGGAATGGTGAGTTAATGTTAAACCAAGCATGAACTGGACTTTTCCCAGTGGGCTGATGGGTAAGTGGACTGGTGCAGCAGAAAATAATTTAAAAATACTTTTAAAGCATTCAGGGGCAGGCTGGCTATCAGCCACACACACTTCCTGACACATTTTCCTCCACATTCCCACTCTAAGATCCTAGCAAACACACACACACCTGCTTGCAAGGAGAAAGCTGAGATGGTGTCATATTCCCAGGCTTAATTGTTGTCCTAGTCCGTACCTGGGTCAGAGGAACCACTGGCCCCTGTGTTCAGCAGCCTAGCCTCCATCAGTGTGCCCCAGGGCACTTTGGTCCTACTCATACTAGACATTAGCCTATCAATCTTGGCAGAACTAATCTCTGTTTCTCCTTAATGAGATTGTTCATAGAGCTATCTGCAACAGTATATAAGATGAAATTATTTATAACCTTTTCACAGAAACCCTCTTCTATAGAACTGGGAAAACCTTTTAAGCTGAGATACTACTACTTTGTGAAGAACTAGCTTCTTTTTAGATGTTGGGTGTGACATCTTTTCTTTCAATAGTTGTGAAATCTTGTCACCACTTCTCAAGGAGTCACAGTTCATGAACTGTTTGGCTTTGGTATAACTCCATTTGAATGCATCTAAAGTATGAAGGAAGTAAGAAAACCACCAATGGCTATCCAGCTTGAACAACTGGCATTTTTACTGTCATGGTCAGGCTGTGGAGACTTTAAAAGTTGGAAATTTAGAGTGAATTCTGTCTGGTCAACAGGTTGTAGATGGGGCAGCAGTAGCTCAACAGGTTGAGTGGATTGTCCAATAATCAGAAGGTTGCAGGTTCCAACCCGGCTCCGGACAGAGAAGCCTGCTGTTGTGTCCTTGGGCAAGACACTTAACCCACCTTGCCTGCTGGTGGCGGTCAGAGGGACCGGTGGCGCCTGTGCTCGGCAGCCTTGCCTCTGTCAGTGCGCCCCAGGGCAGCTGTGGCTACATCGTAGCTCATCACCATCAGTGTGTGTGAATGGATGAATGATACACTGTAGTGTAAAGCGCTTTGGAGTCCTTACTCTGAGAGGCGCTATACAAGTGCAGCTCATTTATCATTTAGATGTAACCGAATACACGGTTTTATTTACCATCTGCATTCGTTCATAATGAACTGTTTTAATGTGCCGTACTCAGAGTAAAGTAGTTTTTTTCACATCATTTGTTTTCATTACAAGTCACCCAGAGCTCTTATGCACACTAAAATGAAAAGGCTAAGAATGGTCTCAGTTCAGCTGTTAAACTAAAGCATGAATGAAATCTTCTGCATGTGGGTTAGGGTTATCATTGTGGGCTAAATGCACTAGACTCACTAACTTATTGACAAGCAAGGAGAGCTGACCCTGGAACACAGTGTGGTGCTGAGATGAACTGTTTGGTTTTCGTAGGTCTTTAGTTGCCTTACTGTGTTTTATATTTACCTCTGAGACAGGGGTGGATTTAGCCATTTGGTGGCCGAAGGCGAACACAGACATGGGGCCCCCTTACACTGAATTTTCAACCATCTTATCTTTAACTGGATTTGCGAAACTCTCCCCTCTTCTGACACGAGTTATTTTCACTTTTTATTAGTCCTCCTCTTTTTTCCTGTGTTTCTCTCCCTTTGAGTGTTTAGGTCTTCCTGTCAGTGCTCCTGTGCTTTTGCCTTTCTTTTTTTTTCTATTTTCCATTTTGGTCTATGTTTTCCTCCCTTTAAACATTTTCTGTTGTCTTTCCTTTCTGCTTCCTTTTGATGTTTACATTGAAAAACAACGTCACTTTTGGAAGTGAAGATAAAAGCTTTTTTGAAGCGAGCTGCTGCTTTCTCTTATTAGAGCCACTAGGATGACTCCATTTCATGCTTCGAGTTTGCTACGAACGCTCCCGCCTCTCTTCTTCTTTTTCTGCTTTCTCTTCTTATTATTATTATTTGTGGTCTTATGGCACTTGGCAAACAACAATTTGGTGCATTACTGCCACCAACTGGATTGGAGTGGAATGACTACCAATCACTTCCTGTTTCCTCATCTGTGTCTTAAAGGAATAGACCGTTGGGGCATTAACAGAGGGGTGCCCACAGTCAAGGCTAGGGGGCCCCGGGTGGCCATCGACCTATGCCTAATGGTAAAACCGCCACTTCTCTGAGAAAAACCTTGAGGAAGTTAGACGTCACACCAGCAAGTGTTGTTCTTTAGCGTTTGGCAGTAAACTTCCACAGTGATTCTTTTTTGATTCATGTGTATTTTATGTGTCTAACAGTAATCATCTCTAACTGGAAAACACTGAATGCTTGCAGAACTAGTGTAAAGCGTCTGCCTAACATCCCTGCAGACAAGCAAGATGTAGAATAATAATGAGAATAGATTTAGTGTCAACGCACCGTTTCATCACATCGTCTCAGACATCACCAGCAGTTTTCCAATTGTTGTCTTCCTTTGTTTGGTTTCTGAATGGTTTAACTGTACAGCCTGCTGTTTGAGACACTTTTTGGACTGTTATGTAAAAGCAAAGTGTTGCTTTGAGAGTACAGTTATGACTTGTGTTCTTGTGGGTCGGTTCTTCTGTGCTGTCCAGCTGTTCTAACTCCTTTCTGTTTACAGGATAGAGGTCATTGCAATAAGGTTTTCTTAGAGGTGCTTTACCTGATGCATTACTGTAAAATGTGAGTTTGGTGAACACACACACACCTAAATCCTTCACATTTAGATTCATGTGCCTGAGATTTATTTAGAAATACACATTAGAGATTGTCATGACTTGAGATTTAAGTGATAATTTAATGTGACTGTACATGAACTTCTACCGTTGTTGGACTGGGATACTGGAGCCAAATGCAAACATTCATCCAGATCTTTCTCAGTTTGATCACTTTGTGCTCATCAGAGATAAAGTTAAAAGTCCCATTAGTCATCATGACACACTGGTGAAATTACATCTGCACATCTAACCCATCCCCGTGGGGACCAGTGAGCTGCAGCAATGGCTGTGCTTGGGAACTATTTGGTGGTTTAACCCCCCAATCCAATTCCTTAAGCTTAGTCTCAAGCAGGGAGACATTGGGTCCCATTTTTGTCCCGACCAGGTTCTGAACCCTGATCTCCCAGTCCCGGGGTGGACACTCATATACCACGAGTCCAGGGGTAGGCAACCCTGGTCCTAGAAAGCTGTCCTGCATGTTTTCCAGCCATGCGTGAACTTGCTGCTTCGTATTGGCTGAACACACCTGATCCAGGTAATCAAAACCAGGAACAACAAAGATAGATGGAAAACAAGCAGGGCTGTGGCTCTGTAGGACCAGGGTTGCCTATCCCTGCATTAGACCACTGAGAAGATGAAGTCAACTCACCGAGATGTAACTAGAATATTACAATAATGTTATACCTCTTAGATTAACAGCTGACTGAAAGAAGGGAAACTTTTGCAATAAACATTTAAAAGTGAAGGAAAGTAAATAATGCATGAAAAGGACAACCAGAAACAGATGTGTTCAGAGGCTGTGTTGTGGCAGAGTTGGTAGCAGTTATTGCCTTTGAATGACGAGTTTGTAGGGTTTGCTGCAGGTACTCTGATTTCCTCCCACTTATCAATAATAATAATAATAATAATAATAATAATAATAATAATAATAATAATAAAATAATATAATAATAATAATAATAATAATAATAATAATAATAATAATAATAATAATAATAATAATAATAATATAATAATAATAATAATAATAATAATAATAATAATAGTATCAACAATACGCACATAAGGTTAATCTGACACTGTAAACTGTGCCTTGGTGTGGCCAGCTGCCCCATCACCCTGCTGGAAAAGTGGTTCAGAAAATGACTAAAAAATAAAATCAAAGGTTTATGTTTATTTATTTGGCAGACGCTTTTATCCAAAGCGACTTACAATTTATAACCTATAGGGCATGTTGTGATCTGCGGGGGAAACCGGAGTACCCGGAGGAAACCCACGCATGCATGCGGAGAAGACGCAACTCCACGCAGAAAGGCCGCAGCCGAGTTTCAAACCCGCAACCTTCGTGCTGCGAGGCAACAG